ATTCTTACTTTGTACTATTACTATCTTGTATGACTGAAAATTTATATTGGCAAAATAAACTTATTATTATTATTAAGCGGCACTTGATAATTATTATAATTATATTATATTATACTTACCTACATAATATAAATATAGGTAATAACTAATAATAACGTATCATAGTACGTATCTTAGGATTTCTTAACGTATATTATATAAGTAATAAGTGTATAATAATAATGCTTGTTTGTAAAACCAAAGCCAAATAATACAATAATAATTGACAACGTGTTATAAAAAACCACGCGCGAACTCGATTATTGTGACACAGGTGTTTGGGTATGTTTGTGATAGAATTCTTCCAAAACATTTTGGCATTGAGTGATTTTTGCCGATTGGTTTTCCTTTCTCGAAATCGTTGTCAAACATTTCGAATCGAATAGGATTTTGGCGGAGTTTTGTTAAAACTATATTTGTGTACAAACAATAAATGTATATAATATAGGACAAACACAAAATTTTGCAATACCCGATAATGTAAACGCGGATATGTTGAATCGGTGTTGTATACTTTATTCAAAGAATTTTTATTTTTTCACCAGTCTTACTTCCTTGAAAAAAATTGAAAATATGACACTGGCCCCTGCCCTTTGCAAGGTCCTATCACCCCACTCGAACAACTTATTTGACGAAGTGATAAACCATATAGTAGCGGTGGAGAGTGAAAAGAGAGTCGCGAGCGCCGCACATTATAATGAATTCAGAATTGATATAATATGAAGAGCAGGAAAAGGAATAATACTTATTATGATAATAGTAAACATTTTAAGACGTGAGCTAGTTATAGAGTCTATGGCTCGAGCAGCGGCTTGACCACTCCTGTTACACAGGTGTTTTATATAATTGAATAGCAATGTCATGACATGGCATGGCATGACAACGTTTATGGCGTTGAATTTTAGATTCGAAAAAAAGCGACGAATGTACCTATATTTATTTTACAATGATTAGGGTTTTTTTGTGCCTGTCTCAACCTTTTGAGTTTTGGACGAGTAAAAAATATGTTATAATATTAGACTTTTGATACCAATGTTTGGATCTATAGTTGATACATTGAAAAGTAAAACGATTCCCCCAGTACTTTTAAAAATAATCGGGTGAAACGAAAACGACATTGCATAGACAGTTTGGAGAAAGACACAGCTTAGCTATCACGGTATATAATACGATGTTAGAACCTGACCTGTGGTCATGTCCTGGATGGCATGCGCGCCGGGCTGGTCTGAACTTCCCAGTGGTCCGATGGCTGATATGACCAGTGCGGCCACGTCCACGGGCACTGGCTGGTCATTGATGGCCTCGTTGGTCTGAACCGGCCGCCGGTATACGACGCATGTCACGCCATTACGCCGAGTGCCGGTCACCAGAACCGCATCGTTCCTGCCGCCAAGCCGTTCGTCCTGGCACACGCCGTTCTTGTCGTCGCACTCGGTGGTAGCAGACAGGTAATAGTCCTCCGCATGGAACGAGTTTTTCGCCGGATTGTAAAACACTACCACAACGTCACCTCCGATCATCGTCACGCTGTCGAGGTCATATATTAAATATTTTGTTTATATTTTGACATAATTATGATTTTGGGAAACTTAATTTATTTTCTGACCGATTTTCAAAAAATATCGTTAACATGGAGGTATTCCTACCACCGAAAACATATTTATGATTGATAGATTTTCCTAGAGGAAAAAAATCAAGTTGCTTGCTACGTTTAATATAGATATAGCTATAGGTAGATATAATAGATAGTCATAAGGATGCTGGACACTCATAATTTTTTTTTTTTTATGACTTCTCACTAACCATTTTACCGGAGTTCAATATAATATGGACAATTTTTAAATAATTTCAACTCTTTGTATATAATCATGTTTCAGAAAAAATACACAAGGTACCTTTTTTAAATTATATTTCAGGGCCCCTGATTATTCTTTTTTAAACAAAATTGTATATCATTTTTTGGAGTATAAAAAGTATAATAATATAATTAGGTATGTATACACCTTATACATATTTAAACATTGGTATGAAATTGTATAAAGAATACGTCGTAGCATCTAAGTGTTTATAATATATATAGGTAGATAGATACTAACCTATTTTGGTTGCCACTGAGACCAAACGCCATATATTGGTTTTCACGTATCTTCCCGGTCAACTGCACTTGAACCCAATCGCCTTGCACTTCCCAGTGCACTTGTAGTTTACCGGGTAATAGTTCTCGACAGTTACTCATCTCCCAACGCCCTTCGGGATCTGAAGTAGTGCTGCTCGTCTAAAGTAGAGTAAAATTTGATCGTTTTTTTTCTGATTTCTATAGTACATATTTTATTGTTTCGAGTTGAACTCACAATGTATGGTGCAAAATTAATTATAGCCACTTATTCTAAGTTAACATTTTAACTGCGATTGAATAAAAGAAAAAAATAGCATTCAAGTTAGGGCCAACTCATTGAATCCTAATACGGCTATAATATTATAATAAGTGAAATTTGGTCTGGGTTGATTAGGATTATTTAACGACACTAATAAATCTTGGAATTTGAACCAAACAGATATTTGTTGTATAATAAATTAGAATTATAAATATCATTAAAATGTTTACTTACCGGATTGTACCACCATGTTGGCTTTAAATCCGAATTGCAGCACAAAATAAATACACACAAGTCAAAAACCATATAATAGTATACCTATGAGTTAATAAATAAGTTTTATCATTAGTAATTCATTTTATCAATGTGGATTTTTCGTTCATAAAGAATTTTGTGATTGTATACAAAACTATTAAGTTCATAGTCTTCTGTGAACTCAAAGAAAATATATTTCTTAAATACATTATAAATGTTTGTTATTACTATTATATCGTTTTAGTATATTATATCATAGCATTTTGTAACCAGATAATTTGATGACATAAATTGAAAAATGTATTACGAAGTATATCACAAATGTATGTTGATTTTTCTTTTTTTATTTGACTGATACCTAGGATATTTCTAACAACTTAAAATCATAATTTGTTTTGAATTTGTATACATTTATACAAGTAACACGGTTAATAGAAAATTGAGAAAAAAAATTTTATATCATTTTACAACATACAATATTTTCTTTGATCATTCAAATATACTTATATTATGTATACCTTAAATGGTTAACTGTAATGAAGTTAAACTTGATCGTAGATAAAAAAATTAAACGATTTCGATTTTTTTTTTTTAAACCAATGATAATATTTTATATTCAAATGAATGTTAAAGTTTATACTTTCGTACAAAGGTAAACTTAACATTTTAAAGTTAAACTGAAAGTAAAAATAAAAACGAGAGAATAATATCTACCTACTGGAAACGTTCGAGTATAATATTATCTATAAATAAAAAGTTTTAAACTAATGAATTTTCCGTAAAAACTCATACAAACTTGTATTTTTGAAGACAGGGATAATACCGATGTATACCGAAGATAATGGATTCCCTCCCCTCCAAAAAAAGTAAAAAATAATAATATGAAAAAGAACTGTCTTCAACTAGAAATCAAACTGCTTTAAAAATAAATAATAAAAAAAAACAAATCATATTTTGTAAATCGTAGGTAGGCCGTTGTATTAAAAAACAAAAATAAAAACTAATAACAAAATAGATAAAAAAAAATACAAAAGGTAATATACTAGGTACTTAAACCGAATAAAAAAAAAAAATAATAATAATAATAATACATAAGGATAATAATATAATAATATAAGTTAGTACTTATAATAATATAATTGGGGTGTACAATAGTATTAAAACGGTATGTGTCACAGAATATGATAATAATAGTCGTTGGGATACCGCGGTACCGGGGCCAGGACTTCACTTCTGGTATGCTGGTAAGAACCAAAAACCCACGGCGGCGGCGGCGGCTGCGAAGGCGACCACGTCTGATGGCGCCGAGGTTTTTTCGTCTGCCCAACTACAACAGTCGTCGGCCTACCCTGTCCGCCACCGCCACCGCCCCTGTGCCTACTACTACTCACGGTCAGCTTGGTCTGCCCCAACGCCGGCGGCACGTCCAAGTCGTCGGGGACGTTGACGTGGCCGAAATTGTGCGTGTACTGCACGCACCAGACGGCCAGCCAATCGATCGAGTGCATCGTCAGGCTTCTGGGTAATTGGATTTCTATGTCTTCCCCCTGGTAGCCCTTCAGCGGTTCCAAGCTGAAAATAAAAATACGCTTGTAATGATATAATGCCCATTACGTAAAAACGCGCGCGGACCGAAAAACGTCGTTGTATTCACAAGTTGCGCAGTAATGATGTCAATACGATGATGGTATAAATAATAATAATTTTGGTAATATTACAACAGCGGGCACTGCACGCGATCGGTGATTATGCCACCGATGTATATAATAGTAAAGTATAATGTTTTTGGATATATTTATGCTGCACTGCTGCAGTGATGAGTTGTTATGACTGCAGTGTTCGAATATATTATTAATTTTTTGCCATATTATGATAACTGGATAAAAAGTTTAAAATTACGAAAAACAATAAAGATTGTAAATTTGTAAAATTCGCAAGAGGAGGTGTATTACTATAATATTGTATGAAACGTATTTAATATACATACGGTATATGAACAGGAAGATTCGTTTATCTTAAAAAAGGCGATATGTTTTAGAAAATAGATGACATTTTTAGAACAAGTAGGTAGGTATTCACAATCATCATATTACAAAAAAATGCAATTTTTCTAAACCGATATGAAAATAGTTAAGATAGTTAAAAAAAAATTGTATTTTTTTAAAAATATTGTTCACTATAATTGTTGTGTATTTTTAGCCACATATTATATTATGCGTTTTAAACACGGAAGTACCGTTGCCACGTGCGACTAACAAATTTCGCGGTGTGAGCTTCACTCGTCGGAGAAAAAAAGAACAATTGACTTATTCATTTTTCGTGGCCGTGGAAATGATCAAAGCCAGTCAGACGTGTTACTTGGAAAAGCACAGGATATACGAAATGTTTAGGGTACGTACACATTTACGGATCAGGTGCGTGTTTAATACTAGTTATAAATATATGCCCCCTATAAATTAAAAAAAAACCATTCATTAAAAGTTAAAACTATTCATTGTAGACGTGTAGACGTGTAGACGAATCAATAATAACACAATCGTGAAAAATCTGATCATTGTAAATTCAAAAACTCATATACTAACATTTTTTATGATTTTTCATTCTCTAAACATTTTTACGCACGCAGTTACTATTGCTTATTTAAAATAACCAAATTAGGACACCTCGTGTACTAAAATATCTACTTAATATTATGTAACATCTCGCAAATACTTTATATATTTTAGCGTTGATTTACGTTTTTAAATCAATGTTGATATTTCATAGTTACTCTTGGATCATACGCCTACTCGTTTTTATATTTAATAATCGTAGTCGTCGTTTTTAAAGGTTTAAAATAGTCCTTTAGTCCCATTATGCTAGTCCTAGACTGATGTACGTAGGTACCTATGTATTCATACAATAGCGTATTAAAATGTCAGACGATTAATAATATTTACGTTGATCTCGTTCTTTTTTCTCATCCAGAACTTGGTCAAGGCACTCGTCATGTCCCAACCACAGGACCCTTTGCGGTTCATCTCGCGGTATTTTAAATGCCGGCGTCACGTGGACGTACCGAAAGTCCTGTTGGTCGCTCCTCCCGATCACCGTTTGGATACAGGTATATTATACACCCCGAGTGAAATCTTCCCCTACACTCACTGCTCGTTCATTCCCCTCTGAGGGGGGGGGCGAGTCTGGGTAAAGCTTATATGCAGTAGGTATATATTGTGAGCTTCAATCTTGCAGTGCAAACATTGACTATACCATACTCGCCGGTTTTGTTTAGACAAAGTGTACGTTGCACTCAACATAGCCAAAAGCACCGGAGTGGTAACCATCGATCGGCGGAACGTATTGCGCAGATACCGGAAAAAACGAGTTCGTATACACACACACACACACATCCACGAGATATTGAACATAATATTATAGTTCTTATACACACACACGAGATATCGAACATATTATTATACGGCATAATGTATTATTTACCCGCCACGATATAGCCATTATAACATACGCATTCCTATTATACGTATTTTGTATTCACGAGTATATTGCAGTGTTCCTCTTTGTAGGTATATTTTATGCAAAGTACCTACTCATTAAAATTATAGAAAATACGGATATCGTATTGCGTAGTTATATGTACGAAAGTTCTGCATATGCATTGGAAAAAGACCTAAAGAAATGAAAAATAAATGTTTTCTTTTCTTTTACATAATATTTTGAAAAACACTATCAAAATAAAGTAAAAATGTATGACTATCAATATCAATCAATGACGTACTATTATATTATCGGCAGAACGTCATGATGATATTATAATTTGATACCTATGAAAAAAATGTATTTTATATTAGAACATAGGATATGAAGTTTTAAAAGTACCTAGTTTATCTCAAGGTACCCAAAACTTTTCGATTTAAATGTCATAAAAATAAGATAAAAAAAGGTATTTTAATGTCGTTATTATAATAATTGGGTTTAAAAATTAACAATAGTTTATTTATAACTTATTTAAAGCTTATTGTACTCGAAATACACTAGTGGTCGAAAAATGTTTGAAATTTAATATTTTGGCACGTACGATATTAATTATTATAATGTTCGTTAAGAGTGTTCGCTATAAATCCACACATTTAACATCTTATTAATTTATTATTAAAATTATACAATTATTCCATATGCATCGTCCTCGTGATTTTAGAGAGACGATGATGACGAATGTGATTCAACGGATTTTACGACCGTGTTGAATGAGTACATGAGAGCGAAAGGGGCCCACGTAAAAGGATGGATACTTTTAGGTAATATAATACGCACAAGTCTTAAAATCTCAATATATCGACATAATATTCGAGATTTCGTATATTTTTTGTGTTTAAAGATATCCCAAACAGTAACAAAGAAGCAGAAATGATGATAAGTCTTGGTATTCTCCCGACACATACAATCGTTCTGTACGAACCTGCAGGTAAAAAAGTTGTGAATTTCACAGTTGAAACTTTTAAGATGATATAATGTTATTAAATATGTATACAGTCAACCTAGCCTAACCTAACCTGTTTGATTTTATATTATTGTTATTATTATTTTGAGGATTAAAATTTAAGTAAAATTTTAATTTTCAGACTTATGCGATTGTCAAACAGAAATTGACAGGTTCAATACGAATTATAAAAAATTTGAATTTGAAATCAAAATGAAATTTCGATTCACCTTAAAAGTTAGTATATCGTATTATTACATTTACCGAGGCATAAAACATAACTAGCTGATCCCGTGCACTTCGTTGCCCGTTCAATGTTCCAACTCTATATGCCTCAAACTGTGTTCTATTCGTTATTTATAATATTCGGTGTATGGTGTTCAAAATGTATCTTAACTTTTCCGTTGCCCGGAATAAAAATTCTGATTTGCGGCAGTATATTATCGGGTAGGGCATCTACTTGCGGTAGATCGCGGACCCACTGCTGTTTGTACGTAACTGTATGATTTAACTCTTATGTATCAAAGTTATAGCAAGTTTGTCGTGTTCCACCTATAATGGTTTAATATAATCTATTAATACAAAATCCTAACCTAACATAACCATACTAATATCAAATGAATAAAAAAAACTAAATTTAACTAAATTTAAATTAGCCTGTCTTCCTCCGAGAGGTCTATTCTACACATAACCATTCATTTATAATTTATATATTGATAAAAAATAATACAAATCAACAAACATGCCCGATTAACCAATAGCAACCAATATATATATACACTGTTTTCTTCTACTGTTGTATTCTTTACATCCAGATTTCCTAATTTTCCAGTGGATTTTCTTAAAATTTTCTTTCGTAAAAACATTCTCCTGGCAATTACGAACATCTTAAAAAAAAATTGATCCAAATCGGACCAGCCGTTCTCGATTGATGAGGTAACGACATTTTTAACTCTCCATATTTATATATATATAGATAACTAATTATTGACTAACATTATCGGACTTTATTTATGCCTAAAATTTGCTCCGTGATATCCTCTTTCATTTAAAAAAAACTGCATGACAATTGGATAAGAAGTTTCGAAGCCAAACCGTAACAAAGATTTCCTCTTTTGCTTGATTTCAGTTTTATATAATATAGATATTTAGTTCAAAAATCCGATGAAATTTGTGTGAAAACGTTTACTTTAATTTTTCTAAAATAACAGTATTACTTACACGATAAGTTTCTCGTAATATCGTGGAACTTTTTAATTTCCACAGTACCTACTATTTAGTATTTAGTTTGAAAATATTCTTCTTATTTATCTAATAAATCGGTGTAAAAAATGAAAGGAATGTACTTATATTGAAAATATAAAAATCAAGTCGATACAATGTATTATTGATATTATTATATCTTCGCGTCAAATGCGTAGTACGTCTTACACATACTAATTGATCATTAAACATCTATCTATATCAGATTATACTTATATATTTTTTGTCGATTTGGGTAGGAAATCAATGTGCAGGGTAATTCGATTGACGAGATCACAGAATTATGTCTGGATCAAATAGTATGTCAAAAACCGTCGGACGTTCCGTTTGTGCCCAGAGTAACGGTTATCGGACCTGTAAGATCGGGACGTTTCATCGTGGTCAGTGGCCTATCCAAAAGATTTAATTTAGTCAACGGTAAGTGTTTGATGGGGAAAAAAACAATAAATGGGGCAGGTGACTTTTCCGACTCACGCATTATGAATTAAATAATTATTAATTAATAATAATAATTATAATTATTATGTTTAATAATACTTTTATACGACCGTTATCATACATCGGGTGCGGTTGCAGTGGATTTTGATCAAATGATGGATCAACAAGTTGCCATCAGTGACAAAAAAATCGCAGAAGAAACGGCATTAACGTGGTTAAAAGTATGTATAATATATACCATACCTAACCTTTTCTTCGAGAGAATACGCCAATTCTTCGCACCTCATACAGTTATTGAAACAGCGATTCTCCTATGACACGTAGGAAGAACCAATTTTCGTCGGTTAGGCGTGACGTGTTTTCTCCACTATACTATAGTTACCTATACGTAAACTTAAAAACGATAAAAATGAATGCTACACTATTTTATAAAGTTGCTTATTTTGTTTTAGGAAAAACTAACTCAAGACGATTGTGTGGAAAATGGTTACGTGTTGAAGGGTTTCCCTCGTACGAGAGCCGATTTTGAATGGTTGGATTCTACCGGAATGGCTCCCAATCGGTATTATATTATATTATTATCCAGAGTGATTATTTTAACAAAAAACCAAAATAGATTGTTTGTTAATCTTTTTGTTTAAAAAAAAAACTTAAGTATCATAGGTGGAAATTTATTTGTTTTAGACTCTGAGAAGAACGATGAATGTATTGATTTTACAATGATGTGTGTGTGTTTTTTTTAATTTTTATTTTTTTGTGTCTGTCATCACATTTTAGGACAGTAAAAGTGCTTGGATTTTCTTCAACAGTATCTTTTCTGATAGGAGAGTGAATCTATTTGGTACTTTGGGGGATCAAAAGTAAAAGTTTCACAGTAGTTTTCAAAAGCGCCTTGAAAAACAAAAGAAAAATTAAGGAAAACCGGGAATTTTTACGCAAAATCTGTTTTCGAAAATATCGAATTTGGTTTTTGGTGTAACTCTTAAAAAAATGACCGTAGGTTCATGACATTTTGACTGAATGGTTATATTAGCATTTTCTATACACCATAACATTTTCCAAATATTTTGACTTATTTTGAGCTGTTTAGGGACATTTTCAGTTTCCAATTTGTTTAGTTTTTTAGTCTATAAATATCAATAAAATGTTATTTGTTGGTTAAAAAAGCTTATAAATTTAATATAGGGCTCTTAGTATATTGTTTCAAAGTGAGATGAAAAATATTAAAAATCCTTAGTCACAGTTTTTTTTTATAAGCATTTAAAGTTCAAAAATTGACAAAATATGGAAAAATCAAGAAAATTTGCAAATTATTTTAAGAATTCGTAAAAATTTTCTTTTTAAATCTAAGATTTTAAAATGTAATACAAGATTACTCATAAGTTTGTCTATCTTTATCAATAAAAAAATCTCTACCGGAAAGTCAAATTAAATTTTTATGAGCGTTTGAAATTCAAATTTTTACAACATTGGATATTCACTCGATTTCTCATGTAGCGATTTCCTTATTTTGTTGTAATTTAAAAACGAATAACTGTAGATATATGAAAATTGCACTGAATGTTTTTATTAGCATTTCCTACACACCATACAATTTTGAAAATGTTTTGACTCTTTTTGAGCTGTTTATGGATATTTTAAGTTTTAAATTTTTTTAGTTTTTTTTTCTATAAATATCAATAAAGTTTTGTTTGTTCGGCCAAAAAGTGTAAAAATTGAATACAAGGCTTCTGATATATTGTTACAATATCAGTTGAAAAATATTAAAAATACATAGGCTTTTTTTATAAGCATTATTTAAAGATCGAATTTTAACAAAATTATTTTGTAGTTGAAAATGTATAAAATGTTCAACTTTCATATTTAAGGATGGAAAATTTAAAACAAGATTCCACATAATTAGCTAATTCTGTTACCAAAAAATCTAAAAAATACATACTCATAGTTTATTTTTATAGTAATTTTAGGTTCAAATTTGAATGAAATTACAAAAAAAAACCTAGAATAACTATTTTAGTTATTCGTTGTGATTGTATAATTTTATTCTTGGGTACCTGAAATTTCTAAAGTACACTATTATATATCTATGATAGTATCAGGGTTTGTTGTTAATGTATTAACGCGTTATAAGTACCTAATGGATATTGTGATATGATTAATTTGGAATTTATTATAGGTACCTACCTATAATAGGTCTTTTTTTTGGAGGGGGGCTACAATTATCCAAAGTAAATATAGCCATATTATAGGTAGCAGAAGAGGCTAAAATAATGTACTATTTATTTCACAATCACCGTAATACGACTAATGTATTTGGGTATATTAATATAGTTGAAAAAACCCAAATTGAATAGTTTTAATAACGAACTCTGATATTATATTATTATTAATTAGTAATTACATACGATATCATTATTTTATTAACAAAATCTAATGTAATTATTCGTTGTCTGTTGAAACGTTTTCTTTAATCTGCAGGGTTACATTTTTGGCTATCAGTTTTCCGGAATTATACCGTCGTTTCAAGAACAGGTGTTTGATCAAAAACACGGGAACCACTATGAGCCTGAACCGTGCGCTCAACGAGATGAAAGCGGGTAAGTTGAAATTTGAAGACCTACTTCGTTATCCATCGAATTCGGGAACATTTCTATGCGAGTTTAAAACCTATTGCAAACGTTTAAAAGTGAGCCTTATTAATATATTAATACAAATATAATGACGCCTTATAGTTGTATTGTATTAGGGCTGACGGTATTTTCGGTATACCGCACATACCGACAATTATTTTCAATACCTTCAGCCCTATATTTTAATGTAACCTATGGTGAATAGTGATCGTATCTCAGTCTCACCATAGTATGTTTAGTATGTTTATGCATAATATACGACATTATGTATAATGAATAATGAATAATTTTATAATTATGATGATATAATCATCAGGACTCTAAATAAATTATGCATTTAACATTTGCAAAATACACTTAAAATACCTATCGCATTTAAGGCAGGTGGGTAAAATCAATATAAAATATATCATCATAAGTCATAACGCCCATAACGGGTATAAGTCATAGGACGTAGACTTAATATTATTACTCTTTACTACGTGTAAAACGATCGTTTTGGCCCAACTCAATTATTATTTCTTGTAAACAAAAAAAATAACCGGAATGCTTAATATTTTTCTCCAAAAAATCGTAGCGTGGAACCGTTCAGCCCCCCGATGACGATCGCAATAATATTTGTTAACTCCGTCGATAATACGTAAAAAAAACTTTGCTGCAGGAGATGCTCTATTATTGCGGAGACGGATGTTCGATCATCACTTTCGGAGAGTCGGTGTGTGACAATGCGTCGGCGTGTGTCGTTTCAGCGAGTCCAGCCTCCGGCCCGAGACCTCAAAATCGCATGCCAAGCCGGATGACCACAACACTTGCCGAACGGATTCTTTTTAACCCCAAACACGAAGACATCTGTCGCGACCCCGGATTGTCCGAGGAAGCTCGAGATCTACTAAACGCCCTCGAAAAGGGTGCCAAACGGCTAGACCTCAATCACGGTGCAGTTGATCAGGCTGTTTAAACCGTCTGCGATTTTTCACGGCCACCCGATTTTCACTACGATACGCCTATACAGCGGAATAATAACATTATATATAAATAATAATAATCGACCGTCGATGCCGAGACGTTGATTGTTTACTTATCGATATTTAAATTATAATAATATCATACACATTACAGTGCAGTTGTGTAATGTCGTCGAAATGACGTGAGTTATATAATAATTACCTCCCGACTTCGTTCGGAACTTTGACGCCGTAAGGAGACGGTTCCGAACCGTTTCCGACGAAAAAATATGCGTCTGGCCCCAAGCCGTCGTAGTGTAAATTTGGTATGTAAAATGTCCTCGCGTCCAGAATACTGATATTGCCCGACCGCAAGCTGTGAGCTAAACGTTTGAACTCTGGTAAGATCCGTGGTTTGGGTGGATCCAGTGTGGCTGGTATGAACACCTCGCCGAAGTTTACCTGAAACAAGAGATTACACCGATTAAAGACAATAATTTAGTTACCACATACCATATATCAATCAAATACGATATATCACAATTCACAGTAACATAATAATTCATTTTTTTGTGAAAATAAAACGATTATTTTCACAATAATTATTATAACACAGAATCGATGAAATTAATCATCTATTCTGTGGTTTAACTTATAACCTAAATTAAGCACAAGGAGAGTACCTATATAATATTATAAAAATGAAAAGCTGATCATTGTTAACCGCTTCAATTGAGAACGGCTGGACCGCTTTGGCCTTTTTTTTTAAATGTTCGTAATAGTTTGAATGTAAAGGAAAAGTGGCCTGGAAGAGGTGCTTACACAAAGATATTTAGACTTATATTGGAAATCAAACATTTTTTTTTGTTTATAAATGAATGCATGGTTAAATCTTAGAGATTATAATAGTAATAGTAAATAGTAGAAATAATTAGTAGAAATAAGTATTTATTTTTTGAAGTTATACTTCTTTACGCAGGGTAGTGAGAAAAAAAAAGCGAACGGGCGGCCGTACGAACGCGAAAGCGTACATGTCCGTAAATAAATAAATATTGTCATGGTAATGTTGTTTTATTATATATTATAATATATATATATTATATATTATAATCGGGCCATACTAATTAATATGAATAATTAATGATCGATTATTATTTATTTTTATTATTATTATTATTATTCACTCGCAAATTTCTATTGTCTGGATAAAAACAATACTACAAACAATTATCCATCGATCTGTCGAATAAAAATATTAAAAAAATAATAAAACTATCAATAATAAATAATTCCGGATACTTCTTCTCATTTTTTAAATTAATTAATATTTTTTTCTTTCTTTTTCACTCACTCACGTGTACCATTCAAAAGAAGTTTAACTTCCCGCGCGCGTACTGGTAACACACATGGTATTTTTTTTTTTATAAATGGTTCCCATTGGTTGCCATTAGTTACTCAGACAGTCGAGGTAAAACCATGCACGTAATCGCCGAGCTTATGACATCGAAAAAATAAATAATATTATATATAAGTTTTTTTACAAATATAAAAAATAAAAAACAAATCTTTGGCACGGCCAAAACCGGGGAGGACAGCTATATTACAATATAAATGTTGACAACTAAAAGTAATTTTCGAAAAATTTGTAGTTCCGAGGACGTATTATTACTAAGGTAACGATGTGTACTATTATGTATTTAATGATAATATAATATGTCAAAAGGATTTTGATATAATCATGCCACTTTCCTACTTCCTTCGTACTCCCACTCAATGTGATCCAATTTTTTTTTATTATTTTAATATAAACCTATTAGATTTAGTTGTTATTTGTTCGCCTTAAAAGTTAATAATATTATAATAGAGCAATAATTATTAATACTGTATAGCTCAACAATTTCAAACGGTTGTTATCGAATATTATGTTTGACAAAGTTATTCAGTTAGGTATAGTTCTCGACTATACTCTATACACAGAACCACATATTAGGTAAATTTATATACTATATAATATATTTAAACAACGTCTATAAGTTGTATTGATGATTATGAGAATTAATATATTCCCAACTTAATTTAACTTATGATTCAAACTTTATGCCGAGCATTCTATGTTGCATTTTCTATAGGTATTATAATTTTTTTTTTATGACATGATTCCTAAACCCGAACTTTGTAATTAATATTGTTATTTGAATTAAGGTGGGTTGACAATAATATAATATTATTGAGCGTATATAAGATTTCGAACAATATGCTTGGCACCCACTCATTCAAATATAATGTGCAGGATACAGTACAAATGAATCCGTTGCAGAAGTGGTCGAAATATTTAAAAGAGTTGACGCCCCATGACCACCGTGACTTCCTATATATAATACATATCGACGGCGGTAAGACTATGCGACATGAGACCTTTTACATTATTTATGAGTTATGACATTGGACTAGCCGACTATAGGTATTATAAATGGGACTCCGTGTTTTTCTATCGGTTTACTCTGTACAATGCTCGTCACTTTATCGTAAGATTGATTATGGGAGTTATATATTATATACAGGTGTACTAAACAATGTCTATAATAAATGATTCACTGTATTTTGTAATAATAATATCATACATCAAATCGACTTCAAAAATCCAACTGAAATAATTTTAAATAACTAAACGTATAGCCTTATACTGGCATAAAGTAACCACGTATATTATTATGCTAATTCTATTTTAAAGGAAAAGCAAGCTAAAAAATAATGGTTTTTTTTTGTTTCCTACCCAAATCAAATTTTTAGTTGGTCCAAAAAATGAAAAATAAAGATAAACGAAACTAAATCGGTTCAAATGAATGTCACCATTTGCAAAAGCGAATGCTCCCATTTAACAATAACCAATATATCTATACAAATTATAAATAAAACCAAATATTTAGGAATTTACCTAGGCAAAAGTTTTACATATAAAAATAAAATGAAACAATTCCTATGCAGTGCACCCTTACTTTTTCTCTACACACTACTGTTTTATGCAGTCAACTTAAAAAATAAAATGTTATTATATACCTAAAACAATCATAACCTCTTTTGGTCTTACGGTATCCAAATTTTATGTTAAGCCAATCCCTCTAATATATGAGATATATAGATCTATACAAGCCATTTCCATTCTATATGTTTTAAAGGCAACGAACTATAGCAACCATAGAAACAACAAAAAATTCCACTTCAAACTCCACTCCAACCAAAATCCCCTAATCGCGTGCATGTCATCTATCACTACACCCACCCTCCTACAATCTACCAAGATGGCTCAAGCGGAAATTGCCACCTGACGCTCTCAAATTCTAATGCGCAACAATGCAACTCTATACATAAAAAAAAGAACTTATAGGTACTTCAAACATACGTATTACGTATAAAGAGGTGCTGTTGATAAACGGTTACCCTAACTCACGCCCATCAAGCCAAGTATAAAAAAATACACTTTTATCACATTTACTTATTTTTGTATAGATTGTTAATATAATTTTAATAAAATAAAATAATGACTAAACGGAATTTAAAAACAGAGTTTCTCGCATACAGGTACGTTACAACTTGAGTGTTATGACTTATCATAAAATTACAATCATTAAGGTTCATAGATAAATCGATTAATAATCTGTATTTTTTTTTTAGGCACCTAACGCATAATTATTCAATTATTATTAATAACCGTGACTGTGTATTATAATATATTATATAATAATATTATATACACACAGTTATTATTGTTTATAGCTATGGTTCCACGAAGTTCCAATGTAACACCTATACGCGTGCACTAACTTTATATTTTACAAAACCAATTGAAACGGCTTGAAACGCATTTTTGAGCTTCAATTTTTAATATATAAGTATTGCACGTGTCATGGAGTGGCGTCATTTAAAAGTTGTAAGCTTTGTAACGAATGTGTAGAGAGTAAATATAAAATTACATTGATTTTTTTGTATACGAAGATGTTTAATATAAGTAGGACATGTTTATTAATTATTAGTCTGGTGCGAGTTTTATGTGGGACGGATCTGTGTCATAATACTTTATTTGAAGCACACTCTTTGGTTATTTTATCAAAATATTATAACGATAAAGGAAAAAAATTCGTTGAAACACAGCTGATGCGAACTCGGTGCCTCGTCGTTGGTATTATTCCATATTAAATCGAGACCATCTGCTGCAGTCGTGTTTTATAGATTTTACTGATGAACAGTTCAAACATTGAAAGTTATTATTTTAATTTTTACTTTTACTGTTACCCATATATTTTAGTATTATAATAATATCGTACCTACTAAAAGCCGGTCCTGTTTTTGTTTCGGTTACACTGACCGCTGTAGCTCTGCGAACTCGTACTATACTACTAAGTTTGTGTATAAAGTAAAGTTTTCTATGTACAAGTTCATATAAGATTTGGCCCCTGAGTATATATGTAGTTGACTGTACAGGCATATTATTATTAAACTATATAGTTGACTGCCGTGAAGCTTTTGAGAATAAGCTATTGTCATTTTGCTATCAACTGCGGTAGAGAAGTCCCTTTTCGACTGTAATACTTCTGTAAAAGACGCTTCACACAATGTGGAAGCACATTTCATTAGTATCCACGCAGTATATGATATATTGTCTTTATACCCTTTGTCCCTTTGATTCGTTAAACCGAAAACCCGTGTTCCGGAGAAGAGGCTTTACTTAACCTAACCTCGTAGGTCGAGTATCAATAACGATCGCCACACTTTGTATACGTCTAGTTTAATTTTTAAGTCTCGAAGACGTGTTGTTCTTATAACTCTAAATACCTGAGATATTGATGAAGATAGGTACATTATAATAATTATGACTTTGATTTTGATTTTTAGATTATTCTGGCTACTGCGGTGTCCCTAGAAAACGACAGCATAAAATTTAAGCGTACCTAATATTATATATTTTAGCATATTGTAGAATGTATTATAATAATAAGTGTTAACGAGAAACTGTTTC